GCTCGTGCTTCATCACGACAGGCGGCTCCTGCGATCCGCTGTGATGAGAGCCCTGCTGAGGGACGGGAGACGTCAAGTGTCCCTCTGCAAACGTCTCTCTGAGATCACTCCTGTTCTCCACGTGTCAAAACGCCAGCACGGGCGTCTCTCCTCGCAGCGAGGGGCATCCTTTACATCCGCCCTTGAAATTCACACACACACACACACACACACACACACACACAGGGACTCCCCGGCTCGGCTTGGCGGCTGTCAGGCCTGATCGTGGCATCACCGCCGCCCCTTCAGGAGTTAATTAACAGACGCATCAAAGCCGATTCCCAAAGAGCTCTGGCTACACAGCAAAGAGGAGGAACTACAGGCCCCCAGCGGCCCCCAGCGGCCCCCGGCGGCCCCTGACAGTCCCTGGACCTTTGATTTGTGCTGTCTCTGAGCGTGTGTGTGTTTCAGCTTTAAACACAGCTCTGTTTTCATCATGTGTAATTGCTGCTGCCTGATGACTGCTTGCCTCCGTCGGAGGAAGTCGCTCCGTCCGCCAGGAGCAGCGAGCAGAGCTTCAGTCTGACAGCAGCTGACTTTAAGGTTTTAGGACGTGTACAGGCCGTCCTCGTGTCTCCTGCTGCACGTAGTAAAATAACGTGAGCGTGCAGGAGTGTGTGTCGGCGGTTGTCAGTGTGATCCACCTGAACATGAAACCGGAGGACAGAAATTTGAAAATGACTCCAACTACAAGATTATCAAAGTTATTGTTTTGCAGTATTCTACCGACAGATTCAGATCTCTTTGGTGCAGATTTAAAAATGAAGCTGTCGTTCTGCCTGATTTTCAATATCTCAACAAGGCCTTGAGGGAATTTTCTTCAAATTTGGCACAAATTTAGAGTCAGCACTGAGCTGAGTAGATTTAAGTGGTCAAAGGTCAAGGTCACTGTGACCTTGTATGTCACATTTTTGTGAACATAATATCTCAAGAACATCATGAGGGAATTTCCTCAAGTTTGGTGCAAACATCCACTGGGACTAAAGGATGAACTGACTTGAATTTGGTAGTTTAAGGTCAAAGGTCAAGGTCACTGTGATTTTGTATGTCACATTTTTACGAACACGAAATGAAGGCCATGAGGGAGTTTCCTTAAGTTAGGCACAAATTTCCACTTGGACTCAATGATGAATTGATTAGAATTTGGTGGTCTAAAGGTCAAGGTCACTGTGACCTCTTATGAACATGATAAAAAGGCCTTCAGAGACATTCCTCACGTTTAGAATTTGGTAGCGTGACCTTGTACGTTACGTTGTTGTGAACGTGGTAAGAAAGCCTTGACATAGTTTCCTGAAATTGGGCACTAACGGCCATTTGGACTCAACGATGAACTGAGAAGCATTTGGTGGTCAAAGGTCAAGATCACGGTGATCTCTAGAATACCTTGAGGGAAATTCTTTAAATTTGGCCCAAACATCCACTTGGACTCAAGGACAAGCTGACGAGAATTTGGTGTGGTGAGGACGGGTGGAGATACCGACATCAGAATTGACTACTCGCCTTAAGATCTTGTGAACATGTGAGTAGATGCTGCCTCATGTTAAGTCTCGGTTTGATCACGTGACAAGACGATATGATACAGAAGCTAATTTAGGCACAAAATCTGTCAGTGCCGACACGTGGCTGAACACAAGAGTATCTGCACTTTATTATATATATATATTGCTGTCAGCTCCACTTACGTTTCCTAAATCAAATGTCACTTTACTCTGAGCATCTTACTACAAGATAGGAAAGGAAGGAAGGAAGGAAGGAGGAATAGGAGGGAAGGAAAATCCTGTTAGTTGTGTAAAAACACCTTGTTTTCCTTCAGTGGTAATGAACGCTTCATGTTCAAGGTGGCAGAAGAAACAAACTTCATCCTCAGAGTGCTGACGCTTGTTTTTTATCACCAGCGTTTAAGTGTCAATACTTTAAATACTTTTCACATCATAAAATGACTTCAGATACTTGAGCTCAGTAATGATCAGATACTTCAAGACTTTTACTCAAATAATATTCTAACAGGACACTTTAACGTCTACCAAGGTTATTTTCTGCAAAGGTATCTGCTTTACTGAGGTGTGGCCTTCAGGGACTTCATCCACAGAATATACAGCTGAAAATATTAGACCATTAATTGATTAGTTGTTGAGTTTTGGGGGGAAATGTCCCATAAAGTGCTGTTTTCAGCCTCTTGAATATGAATACGTTCTGGTTTCATTTGTCTTATTCTGTGTTGTAAACTTTAAACATTTGGATTTAGAATGATTGTCAGTGTGGCGTTGGAAATCGGCAGCAGTGTTTTTAATCTGAACCTGCAGCTGACGTATCTGTACCTAGGAATGTAATGTGTGCGTTTTTTAGAGTTGACGATATCACTGGAAAAATTTGGAGATTAATTGAATAGTTTTTGGAAACTGATCAGGAACAATTTTGATGAGTTTTGGGGGGAAATGTCCCAAAAAGTACTGTTTTCGTCCTCTTAAATATGCATGTTTTCTGGTTTTATTTGTCTTGTTCTACGTAGTAAACTATGTGTATCTGGGGCCTGAGCACCAACGAAGGCCGGGCGAAGGCCCTCTTGAAACTGAAGGAATTATTATTGTTATTTTTCTCCGAAAAGAAGTGCATTTTTGAAGGGCTTACAGGGCTGGAAAACTCACGAAACTTTGCATACTTATGTAAACTGGTGAAAATTTACATCTGATATGGGTCTGGATAGCAGGAGCCAAAAAATGCCTCAGTAGCACCCCCTACAAAATTTTGAGGAAACATCCCCGAAGCTAGTTTAACCCAGGAGTACGGTCCCATGGTCAAACAGATTGACGAAAACTCAAGCTTAACTGTTCATCTTCAAGGTCTTGGGGTGAGACAGACCAAGGTTTGAAGTCGATCAGATGAAATCTGTAGGACTAGTTCGTTCATTTAGGACCCCTGGGGTTTAGTACTATCTAGTAAACTATGTATATTTGGATTTGGAGAAGTTGGGGATTGGAAACTGGCAGCAGTGTTTGAATCTGCAGATGAATCAATAATGGAAATGACAGTTTGTTACAGCTGCTGAAAAACAACCTGCAGACTATTTTTATTCTGTGTAAGAAGAAACACTGATGCTTGTTTTCTCCTCTAAACCCACGAGCAACAAAGTGTCAGCAAGGTTCGACATCACTGGAACAATTTGGAGATTAATCGATGAGCTGTCTGAACAATTTTGACGAGTTTTGGGGAGAAAATTTACAGTTTTCATTTTGTTAAATCTGAATAATTTCTTTTTTTATTTGTCGTATTTTGTGCAGCAAACTTTAAACATTTGTATTGTCACTTTTAGGGCTGATATTTGGCAGTAGCATTTCAATCATGCAGCCGCTGAATATAAACCTGCAGCTCTGTTTTTACTCTCGTGCAGAAGGAACTAAGGAACTCAGCGTATGTGCAGGCGCTTCTTTTCTCCACTAAACCCATTAAGAGCAAAGTGTCGATGTCGCTGGAACAATTCGGCAAAGAATCGATTAGTTGTTGGAACAATTTCAACGAATTTTCGAGGGGAATTTCGTCCTCTTCCATAGGAATCATGTCTGGATGTATTTGTCTTAGTGTGTGCAGTAAACTCTGCTGATCTGACGTCTCTGTACCTCCAGATGTGACCTGTGTTTCTGCAGCTTTTGCATGTGTCTCTGGTGAATCTTAAAAGACGCAGGAGCTGTTTTTTTCCTCCTGTGGCTTCGCTGGATTTACTCCCAAAGCCACTGATGCTTCTTTTCTCCACTAAACCCACAAGGACCAACTGCCCCGGGGCCACAAGGCGTAATTGGTGTGGACTTGTTGTTTTGTGGGATAAGAGACTTTTGAGTCGTCACAGCGGGGCGTTTTACTCACTTCCAATTCACATTTATCGCTCCCTGCGTGCCAGACTCCTCTCCGTCCTCTCCTTTCTCCTCTCAGTCATTAACGTGTGCACAGATTTAGCAGAGAATCAGAGCTGCAATCAGCGGCGAGGAGCGAACGGGCCTGCGGGGGTGGAAATGTGTGAAAGTGACAGAAAGGCGCTCGGGGCAGGATGAAAGTGACATCCCCATCACAGGTTTGGGAAGCCTCCATGTCATCCTGAATAATGTGAAGGGCCCCATTATTTCTTCACATCTTTTCAGTCCCCGCTGCTCCCTGACTGCTGGAACTCTTCATCCTGCACAATGGCAAATGCACTAAAACTTTTTTCTGATGCAAATGAACGCAAGCGGCCATTCAGCGGCAGAGAAGCCTCCTCTGGGGCGAAGAGGGGGGACCAGCCTGCAGGTTCTTACATCTGCATCACTCTGCTCTGCGTTGGTTTAAACCTAAAAAGTGACGCTTTAGTTTTTATATGCAAGAAAACACATTTAAACATGTGAGGCCTTTTTGTGCAGCTGCAAAAAAACAAAATAAATATTTAATTTAAACCTTTTTTAAATGAAAATCAACTCAAACTGTGGCTCATAAAAATAATACAAGACTTAAATTTGCTTGTAAAGCTAAATAAGGAAGCTGTGTGTGTGTGCGTGCAGGCTGCTTCACTACACAGCATCTTAAATATCAGGTTGCAGATTCCAGGAATTCCAGAGTCGGTGTAAAAAGCGAGAAAATGACTGGTTTAATTCATTCAGTGTGTCCTGACAATACTGCTTAAAATCCTCTCTACTGAGTCTGAGCTCCAAGTCACTGCGTTAAATAATAAATAGATTAATTTTAGTAAATATTTTGGGAGGATTTAAAGAATAAATGAGTTTATTAGTTTGAGAAATATTATTTTAAAGGGTACAAAGCAGCATTAAATGCAAGAATCTCATCTTGGATTTAATTAAACGTATAAAGTGTTAAAGATATAAAAGTCTGGTGTTTTATTTTTGAATGAACGAGCACTCAAACTCTCAGTTTCCAGCCTCAGCGCAGGATAAAGCCGCAGTTGTCTCCGGGAGCACATGGCCAACACCGACCCAACTCACCCAAAGTGTCCCCTCGTCTCCTCCCGAGCGTGCGGACAGCTCTCTTCTCCTCCTTCTCCTCCTTCTCCTCCTTCTCCTCTCTTCACTCCTCAACTTTCAAACTTCTCAGAAGCAGAAATCCTCCCGTGACAAACATGAGGTCCCATCGACAGGACGCGCGTAATTTTTTTGGGGAAAAGTCCTTCTCCAGAGTCAGAGTGCGCGCCTCGGCATGGATGCGTAAAAGAAAAAGGAAAAAGAAAGTTCACTTGTCTGCGTCGCTGCGCATCACGGATCCGTCACTTCGCACAAACACCGAGGAGACTTTCACAAGTGAGGAGGCGCAACTTTTCCCCACCCGTCGGGTGTTTGGCCGGGATGCTGCGGAGCTTTGGAGACTCCGGGATGCGCTGTTTTTCAGCTCCCTCCCCTCTCTGCGCTTAACTTCCTCCCCTCCTTCTCCCTCTGACCCCCCCTAACCTTCCTCCCTCCCTCCTCCTCCTCCTCTCTGTGTCCGGACAAACCCTCATCACCGCTGTCCGATCATTGAAACACCCTTTAATACTCAATATAATCAATAACCTACTGAAGATAATTGATTATGCGTGAGACAACTTTAAACTAAGAAAAAAAAATATTAATTTATACTGAGCCTCAAAAATAAATTAAATGTCATCACTTGCGGTAAAAAATAAATTTAAAAAATGAATTAGTGGAAATATTGCTGGTTATATTTCTATAATTTATTTCTTTATATTTATATATATATTGTGACACTTATTGTTCGTTAATGCACCCATGCAAAATGTCCTGATTGCATCATCTTACATAAATAAATGCTGAATCAATCAAACATATTGATTATCAGTTACACAAAATTATTCACTTCACTGCACTTTAACCTAAATTAATTCACTTGATTCATCAGATAATAACAAATAATAACTCTGATTATTTATCTGACAGTTTCAGCTGTTTAAATTAAAGATGTCTGAGGGAAGTGATGCGGCATAACTGTGACTCTGCAGAAATATAAACCACAAAAACCTTCAGACACTGAAGCACAGTCAGGTTAGAATAAGAGTAATACATACTGGACTGTGTTACAGATAATGCAGAGATACTGCAGGACATTATAAAGCACAAAAATACTATAAATATATATATTTTCATACTTGTTTAAACTCTTTGTCGCAAAAATATTTAATTGAGAATCACAGAACATCAGCAGTGATGTTTCCTCATGTTTGTCCTTTAGCTGCTGCGCTTGGTTCAAATGTAAGGTACTTTAATTTCATCAAACAGCTGAAGTCCAGGTTTCAAATGAAACACTGACCTCTGCTGGCAGTGTGCGGGTACTGCAGGCACATCTCTGCCATCACATGCAGGTCTTCTGGGGTCTCACTTAGAAACACTGCAGGCGAAGTTGTGATGTATAAAAACAGAGACATGCTTATGAGCATTTTGGAGACAGGAAGTTGGTGACGCAGATGTGACGTGGAGGCCTGATATGCACCATTTTTGGCTTTCGTCCTTGCGTATATTTGTGGTACGGATCCGACACATTGTTTTACAAATTACACCCAAGATCGTAGGTGTAGATTTCAGGGGGGACAAAGGGGACGTCCATGTTTAGAATTTAATGTTTGACTTCCTGAATAAAAACATGAAAGTGGCAGACTTTTATTTTGTTAAGGCGACAAAAGTCTGAGTAGGTTGAGCAGAAGGGGCGGTGGATGGATCCAACAACCTCCGACTTCCAACATTCTAAAGCCAAACCCTGTTCTGGACAGAAATCTGAAAAACGGAGCATCAGAATGATGAAGAAAGGTGATTGAAGTGACTTTGAACGTGGCATGGTTGTTGGTGCCAGACGGGCTGGTCTGAGTATTTACAGGGATTTTCAGCACAACCATCTCTAGGGTTTACAGAGGATGGTCCCAAAAAGAGCAAATATCCAGTGAGCCAAAATGCCTTGTTGATGCCAGAGGTCAGAGGAGAATGGCCAGACTGGTTCAAGATGATAGAAAGGCAACAGGAAGTCAAATAAGCACTGGTTCCAACCAAGGTGTGCAGAAGAGCATCTCTGAAGCAACAACACCTTGTCCAACCTTGAAGCAGATGGGCTACAGCAGCAGAAGACCACACCAGGTGCCACTCCTGTCAGCTAACAACAGGAAACTGAGGCTACAATTCACCAAAACTGGACAATAGAAGATTGGAAAAACCACATTCAGATGGAAGCATGGATCCATCCTGCCTTGTATCAACGCTTCAGGCTGCTGCTGGTGGTGTAATGGTGTGGGGGAGATTTTCTTAGTACCAACTGAGCATGGTTTAAACACCACAGCCTACCTGAGTATTGTTGCTGAGCGTGTCCATCCCTTTATGACCACAGTGTACTTTTTTATCTTTAATAAACTGACACATTATTCGTCCTTCATTTTCAAAGGTTCCTGATATAAAATATTGAATAATGTTGACCTTAATTTATTTTATTTTTATTTATTCTAATTCTATTTTTTATTTATTTATTCATTATTATTTAATTATTCTTATTTTTATTTTATTTTATTTTATTTTTTATTTTTTTATTGAAACTCTGTGAGGTCCATATTGACCTTTATTCATAACGTCTGCACAGGAACACATATGATAAAAACATTTGTAAGGATTCTGAGGATCAGAGTTGTGATGGACACTGAGCCTGACACTTGGTGGAAAACAGCGTCCTCTAGTGGACGAACTATACAATGACAACACTCACTGAGCTATTGTGTGAGTGTCAGGCAGGTTTTTGCTCTGGAATATAATAGTTTATTTTCTATCATCAGGTTTTGACTCAGCAGCTAAAAATAATTCAGATATACTGCACATAGTTTAAATAGTATTCTGATCTAAAGAAGTCAAAATTTAAACCAGCTGGTGAGATGATGAAGACGTAGTACTGACATATTATGATCCTTTGTAGATGCAAAAGTATTAGTGACAAAATGTACTTAAAATATCAAATAATAAAAGTAGTGATGATGCAGGGTGGCTTTTATTTATTTTTTAAATTATTATTTCTAATTTCTGTTTTTTACAATTTCATTTCTATTTATTTTTTAGTTTGTTTAAATTGTCTTTTTTTATTTTGCTCATGATGCAGAGTGGCTTCCTCCCGACTGTGTGTTTTTTTTTTAATACACATACATTATTTTAATTTTATATTCATACTTAATGAATATAAAATATTCATAAATCTTTATATATATATATACTTATTTATTGTTTTAGTCATTATATATTCATTTATTTTACTCATGATGCAGAGTGGCTTCCTCCAGACTTAATTTTATCTCTGTCTGTCTGTCCGTCCATCCGTCCGTCCGTCCGTCCGTCCAAATTTAAAACAAAAAATACATTTTATTTAATTTTATTTTACTCATGATGCAGAATATCTTCCTCCAGACTTTTATTCATTTTTTAAAAATTTAATTATTTTTTCATTTTTTTCTGTGTGTATATTTTTTAATTTAAAATTTTATTCTTTATATTTTTACTTGCTCATGATTATTTTATTTTTTATTTTATTTAGTTTTTATTATTTTATTTTATTTTACTTTTTATTATCATTATTATTATTATTATACTCTCATCTCCATGCAGAGTACGAGCTTTTACCCACAGGCGATACAAGATGCCCAAATTTAAACTGAATCCTTTTAAAAATTAATTTGTGCCAAAGTCAGTTAACATTTTAAATAATGTTGCTTGATGCTTTAGAGTTTGTGTTGTGCTTTGCCTCTGGTGCTCTGTTGTGTGCTGCTGTTATGTGCGATATTGTTATGTGAAGTATGTATTTTTATGTTTTTTTATGGTTAATGCTTTTCATTTGTTCTTGACTGTTATTGTAAAGCAGCAATATTCAGGCAGTTCCTGAGTCCAAGACAACTCTCCCCATGAGGACAAGAAAGTGTATGGTATGGTATCGTGATATTACTACATGTATCATACTGGTTTCTTTACTATTGTTAATGGCATTTAATTGGTGCAGCACATTGAGATAAATTTAACTCTTTATAATATATTCAATTTAAATATATGCTGCAGTTTGAATACAATACATACTAAAAAAAGGTCTGTTGGAGCCACCTGCTGGTGTGCAGCAAAGAGCAAATCTGAAACTCTTTGAATTTATATTAAAAAAAAGGCAGAACACAATAAAACACTTGTCAAATTACACAAATCTCAAGTTATTTGAATAGAAGATAGTCTCTACAAAATTTAAACTGAACTTTAAAATTTGCTTCCACCTTTAAAATATTTTTAAAAACATATAAATATTGAAAAATATCAATTTTAAAAAGAAAAACTGAGGCTTTATTTGTGCAAAAATCTCTTGTGCTCGCCTTGTCTCTTACACGTCATAAAATATTATTTTCATGTGGAAGCATTGGCCTGTGAATCTGTGGTGGAACAATAAAATAACTTTATACTCCTGGAAGAATAAAAGACCATCTGCAGCCGGATCACAGACACCATCAGTGTGGCCGTCCGGCTCAAGTGCACGACGATGAAATGAGTGAAATGAAATGAAAATAAAACACGGAAGTGAAATCATAACTGTTAAAGTATGATGGTATCACTTGTGCCGCTGCCATATGGAAATAATCTTACCTCCGAGCAACAATAATATTAAATGTCTTTTAAAACTGTCGCGTGAGAAATCTTTTCCCCCATCTCGCCATCTGATACTGATGACTTCCACAGAGCTGCTCGCGAGACGTTACTGTGGTGGTGTCTGTTCCCAGTGTGGGAGAAACTGGAAATGTGCCTTATGAGCGGTTTATTCATGTACGTCAGAGCGGCTGCACATAAAGTCCATCAGCTGACACACAACACTCAGCGAGGAACTGAAAGGATTACATTATTATATCTTCAATCTGTTACCTTCATTGTGACAGCGTATTGTTTACTACGTTTCCCAGAGTGCCCTCCTACAACTGGCTGTTTAAGGTGCAGAAATGATCTCTGGTGTTTCCTGTTCTCTGGTGATTTTTCTCTCTGTGTTATTGCTGAACATCACAGTGTCAGTTGCAGCTTTAAAGTTCACCACAAGGAAATCTTGGCATTGTTTGTTTCTGCAAACGACAATCAACAATATAGTGACGTAGTACATGAGTTGACTTTGTCACTGGGAGGTGGAGGGGATTGTGGATGGTGTGACACCTTGGCGAGACGCCTGCCAAACTGCTGACCACTGCTCAAGACCAACAAACAGCAAAACTGGTTGTTTTATAGCTGTTTTTCTAGCAGCTGTTTAGCCACCAAACATGGCCGTTTGTTGCAACCTGTCACTGTTGATTCAGCAGCTTTATAATCACCAAAATCGGGTCTTTTGTAGCAACATGTCACTGCTTTTCCAGCTG